TGTATATATACACACACATATCCTGTAAATATGCATATGCTTAGATCATCATCAATTCTCAGTCAATGGTTCTCTCACTCTACCCAGCTGGCCCAGAAGTGAAAGGAAATCAGCCTGTTAAAAAGAACCAGCGGCTGACAAACAAACCCCAGCCATGCCTACTACCTCTGCATTGCCCATGGCAACCATCACACCATAACGGAGCATTTCTACAGAAACCATATGACACACAGCCTTCACAGGAGGTCTGGCAGTATTTGGGATAAACTGGTGAGATGGGCTTCACATTCCAGCAGCTAGAGCTATTTAACACCAATGGAGTAGAAAGGTCAAATTCATCACTGGACGCAGATGCAAACTTTGCTAAACAGAAAGATGGTGTAAGAACTCAGAGCACACAAGGTGCTTTACTGGAGCTGGCTAATCCCTACAAAATGCGTGTTCTTTGGTGTTGGAATCATGAGTTCCAAGGTATCACTCAGAAGGATGGCCCACCTTTGGGTAGCCCAATCAGCAAAAGCAGGAACCATAGCTACCCTGGCTTTTGGGGTGGGAGAAGGTAACCAGAGGGAAGAGCTCTGCCCTGAATACAGGACTTTCAGTTTTACAGTAGGAAAGTCCAGGAGAGAACAGCACTTCTGGTAGCAACAAGTATGGCAGGACAAAGGCAAATAAGGGTTTTCTAGTAGAGAAGATTTACATTTGGAGAATACATTATAAATCAATTAAAATAATGTACTGGTAATTAAAAATCCCATTCATTCTTTAAAATGAAAATAATATGGCAATGACATTTCCATGAAAGTGAAAATCAAGAGTCAAGTTGACAAGTAAAACAATTAAACTCTCACCAAACCCAATGTCAATTTATTTTTAGCAAAACACTGGTATCAAGATTGTAAAATTTACCTTAAAGCCCCACCTCCACAGTGACACAACTCCTCCAACAAGGCCACACCTCCCAACAGAGCTACTTCCTGGGCCAAGCATATTCAAACCACCACACTATCATTTACTTGTATTTAATGTCATACTTTAGGTTGTACAAAAATGAGACATTTATAGCTAATATATTATAGAATTTTATAGCCAAAGTTTTATATTTGTATGCATTCAAGTAGTATTATATTAAAAACCAATTCAGAGAAAGAGTAAGGCTTAACAATGAGCCTAAGTTTATGAAAATTTATTACTTATGTTTAAGATTATTTCTGTTGTCTGGAGATAAATTAAGATAAGCAAAGTTGCCAAAGTCACATAGCAAGTTACTATGAGTCTTTTTTGTTTGTTTGTTTTGTTTTGTTTTTTTCGAGACAGGGTTTCTCTGAGTAGCCCTGGCTGTCCTGGAACTTACTCTGTAGTTCTAGCCTCGAACTCTCGAACTCAGAAATCCGCCTGCCTCTGCCTCCCAAGTGCTGGGATTAAAGGTGTGCGCCACCACTGCCTGGCTACTAGTGAGTCTTGAACTCAGGTTTGCCAGGGTTCAAAGCCTGTGTTGGATTTCACTGGGAGGCAAAGGTGAGCTTCCTGTACTCAAAGTGCAGTACAGTCATGAAGGTTAAGCAACGGGACACAGTGCTTGCCACTGGTCCCCTGGCAGCCACAGACCTGAAGATTCACCTACACCTTCTCCACAAACTCCTCCACTGGGTGCTGAGGGCACAGAAACTTATTTTTCTGTCCAGCCTTCAGGGAGCTTATATAAGTCTTGCCTTTTACATTATCCTGTCTAATGATATTGCTATTGTTTCAGTCTGGTTTATATAGCCATTTCTAAGAGAGACTGTTTCATAGTAGATTTCCTGGTATTCTGGCTCTTGCTGTCTATGTGTCTCTCTTCCACAATGTTTCTTGAGCCATCTCTAAAGAAGTCTAATTTGAAATTCTACCATGCCTCAATGTCTGTCCACTACTTGCCCACATCCAGTGACAGTTACTTGCATTAGGCCTTTTCAGTCAGTATAACACTAAATAGGGGGCAGGGAGGCAGAACAATGTAGCTGTAGTAAACTTAGCAATTCAAGAACAATCTAGGGGCTGTGTGGGTGCCAGAGGTCCAGAGGATCCAGGTATCCCTCTCTAAGGGTTGTTTTAATAAATCTCAACAGCAGACACGGTTCCAAGCTTTCCATTTAATATCTACAACTGACTGTGAGGTTGATAGCATTATCACCATTTAACTAAGCAAGGAAAAGTTATAGAACCCATCAGGATCAAACCCATCAGTAAGGACAAAGTCAGGCTGGGCAACAGACAGGCTTCAAGGCCTCAATGATCTTTCCTGAACTCAGTAGTGGTTTGAAGGTCAGCGCTCAAAGAGAATGGGACCTACCTGACAGAAGAGACCACCAGCAGCCCTCCCTGACCCTCACCTTTCATAGGATACAGAAACAAGTGCAGGCTTGGGGATAATGCTGTGCAGCCTTGGTTCTCACAGCTCCACAGTGGGCATAATCAAAATAGAGCAATTCTGATAAACAAGGAAGCATCTCCACAGTTGGCTCCTTAGTTTACTACTTACTGTCAAGCCTACTTCTCTAACATCTTTAGCTCTCAGGGTCTTTTCTTGCTAGAGGAGACAGAGGTGGGAGGAGGAAATGAAAAGGAGGAGCTAAGCTTTCTTCCCTTTGCTGACACAAATAAGACGTGTCTCTAGACTAAAGGTCTCCCAGGCTTAGAATATGGACCAGATAAGCAGGTAGGAGGCTACTCAGCCCAACACACACACACACACACACACACACACACACACACACACACACAGAGAGAGAGAGAGAGAGAGACAGAGAGAGAGAGACAGAGAGAGAGAGACAGAGAGAGAGAGACAGAGACAGAGACTGCACTATTTTATCAGACAACTGGGAAAAGAGGCAGTTTCTTGATGCTTTTCTTCTAAACTGGTACATCTTTCAGAAGGCTGCTTCAAAATGAATTTGGACTGAGGTGTAAGTCAGTGGTGGGGCACTTACCTCACATATTGTCCTGAGTTCAAGTCTCAGCAAAATAGAAATTTCTACTCTCTGACTAACCACCCTGTTTACTTAAAGGAAGTGACTCTAAGAAGCACTTCAACAGGGCACAGGGATCCAGAAGACCATCATTACTTAGAAAAATCCAAACCCAGCAGCAGCCTAGCACATTGTGCCCCTCATGTGCTCAGGCTGCTTACCACGTTTATGGTTTTGTTGTTTTTTTGACAACTGTGTTCTCATCAGGTAGTAATCTTCACAAGAAAAGAAGATTTTTCTCTGTCTACAAGATGTCTCCATCTAGATTTCTGGTACAAAGTAACTATAGATTATAGGAATTAAGAGTATTGAAATATTCTATTACAGTGTTAAGCAAATACAATGTAACACACAAATAATGAAATTGTAATTGCTATACCCTTGGAAACGATTATATGAATCAGACACAGGCTGAGGAGATGCTCAATGTGTAAAGTACCTGCTGATGGACATAGTGGTACACATCTGGGGCAGGGCTAAGGGACGGACCAACACAAGCACATCCTGGGAGCTCTCTGGGCAGCCTACCTAGACAAAAACAGTGAGCACCAGGTTTTCTGACATATTGTCTAAGCCTAAGGTAGAAGAGCAACTGAAGAAGGCACTGGCCTCTGGCTTCACCTGTGTGTGTACGCATGGGTCCACATGTGTGGGTACCCCAGTTTTATTAGGAAGGCAGGATCGCTGCATAACTTTTTAATTTTAAATTATTCTAGGTGTTCTGTAAAGCTGTCGTTTTTGTACCTCAGAAATGAAAATGTGAGGGAAAATATGCTCCTTTGTAGATCAAATCTGACTTGAGAGCAGAGGTGAGGCAGCCGCTAGAGATGCTGCTCCCAGCTCACCCCTGGCACCTGATGTCTGTTCTTGCTCAAGGGCAGAAAGACCTAGAATACTCACATATCACATGCTGCAGAATCCTATTCTCCTAAGTCTCAAACAAAGGAATCTGTTTTAAAGGGAAAGGAGAAGCTCCTTCGAAGCAATCCCTCATTAGGACTGTGAATTTGCTGCTTCCAAACAGCAGGGGGTGCTAAAGGGATCACTATTAATCCCAGGAGATAGCCAGGAGAGGGAGATTGGAGATGCAGGTTAGACACACTTATGTTAGATGCAAACCTGAGTGTGTAGGCTCACCCTTAGCTATGGGACTCAGCAGCAACGTGGACCCCAATGGACACATGGTCATTTCCACCTGCAGTCCTTAGCATTTCCTCAGATGGAAAGCGGAGGCAACAACTGACAGCAAGATGAGCCTCGCTGGTGCAGATCCTGAGCAGACTCTTAGCTAACACCACTGTTTGCTACAAATGGTGCCGACTCCTGAAGCGGCATTTAGATTCATCGTGCCGCTCTGAATCAACAGGCTCAAAGAGCCACGGTTAGAACTCCTCTGGGTCTTGTTAGTAATCTATTAATCAAGCTAGATGTATCAGTACATATAGAGTTGTTTAATGATCTGTTGACTTTCAATATAAGAGTCTTTTTATATTCCAATGAATTTTATTTTATGTATGTACATATACTTTTCTGAGAGTGGTTTCTTTAAGGCTTTACCAGACTGACAAAAGCATAGAGCAAGCATAGTCTAAAGGAAGGCAACCAAGGAAAAACAAATAGAATTTGAACCAGTTGGAGAGAAAATATTTTAAGTCACAATAGAAAAATGACCATAATATGCATTTTCATTTAGGTTGGTGTCCTTGACTAGAAAGAGGCAAGCCCAGATACTGCTTCCCAGGATCCTAGTCACCACCACTCCCAGAGGTCATCTGTAGACATGCTGTTCCCAGATCTATCTCACAGACTACTAGTGCTCAACAGGACGCACATGTCCTAGGTACAGAAGCAGGAAACAGCAATGCACATGTTCCCAAATTGTTCTGCAAGTAACTATGTGAGCAGATGTTCCAGGTAACACACATAATTCACCTGATTAACAAGGCCTGCAGGTCGGGGTAACAAACTGAGTAAGTAACAGGGAGTACTCACATGCGAACAAAGAGCGACTCTTTGGAGGTCAGACCAGGAGAGGAGTACTTTTCAACCAGGGCCAAAGTACTGAAGCCAAACTTATGAATGGGCTCATTGGAATCCAGGGGTGGGAAATCCGTGTCAACCTCCCCATCATCCTCAGCAATATGCAGGCAGTAGGCACTGACATTGTCACTGAAAGCAAAACCATAAAGGCAAGTGAGTGTTGCACGAAAGGGACATGTAAGCAGACAGTATGGCCCAGCCAGCACACCAACCTTGCTGCTCTCTACCCTCAGCCCAGGATAACTTGTTAGCAAGACGAAGGAGTCTTCACATTGTGTCATTTCTCCCACATTTACTGGACACTTAGTAGAGATAAGGCCTAGAACTCAGTCCCTGAGATGAAAAGTGGGATTTACTGTCAGCATTAAAGGAAGGCCATAACATAGAGGGGGAAATAAGTACAATAGTACTTTAGAATCTACTCACAAACAAAGGGAAAAACACTGCTGGAGAGCCCCTGATGCACATCACACACAGGTAAGCCCGGTAACTAAGAGCAGCTGCACACTTCTTTCCTTAAAAAGTAGCTGCCTCTTTGGGTAGGATCTGATTCCAAACAACAGAGAACCTTAGCTGAATAGAAGCAAATGGTCTGATTTATCCTGGTGCTCACACCAAGTTCAAGGCTATCCTTGGCCACATAGCTAGCAGGCCTGGGATACACAAGACCTTGACAATACATTAGTGAATGTGTAAATAAATGAATGTTGAAACCATTGGCGTGCTTCAGAGCAGGCTGGGAAATCGCAAACCTGCTAGCATATAGGCAGGCTGGCTTCAGAACATAATCTAATAGTTCAGAAGGCAGGAGAACTCTAAATTCTGCAGCTCAAATTTGGAATTTTAATTATGTGATTGATGCTTTAATTAATTAATTCCAAAGTATATGCTAATTGTTTAATTGGTTGCTTGATCTATATAGATCATTTTTTGAATTAAATGAGTTGATTTACAAAGTTTATTGATTGGATGTGACAATGAATTATTACGCTGACTACCTGATTTGCAATTTTCCCAGTTAATTCACAATCTTTAGCTGCAACTCTGTGTACTGAGAGAGCCTCATTCAGGGACTCTACACTCAGTGTGTCTCTCAAGGCTGCAAAGTATTTGTTGTATAAAACAGGTAATAGGGACAGATGATAAATTAATGGAAATATAAATCTGCTAAGTAGATTGATAACTTTACCTTGTCACTTTACATTACATGTGTTTGCAATGTTGGTAAGAAATACAAAGTTCTTGTCTGAGTGGTGGGAACTTCTCAATCTTTACAGCAAACTGTCCACACACAGTGCATGCAGAAACAGATGCTTTTTAGAGGTGGAATGGCATGGGAGACCCAAGTTAAATTCTCAGCTCTATGGCTCTTGGGCTGTATGAGTCCAGAATAAACTTCATCAATAGTCCTGTTTTCTATTTCCACATCCAAAACGAAGTCCTAATGCCCTAATTCAGGATTAGATTCAGTGATGTATATAGAACATAGCACACAGAATCTAAAGATGAGGTGACTATAGTAAGGGCAGATGGGAGCCAGCTTGAAGAGTTCTATTAGTCTTTAAGTTATGAACGCACAGAGAAGCAATAGGGCAGGAGGGTCTCTGAGTTTAATGGGGCAGCTGTGTTGCAGCCTTGGGTCTGCTGTGCCTCTAGGGTTTTATGAGGAAGGCAGATGGGATGGGAAAAGCAAGAGACAGCACAGATTATTTTTTGCCATGCAAATCAATCTGAGAGATGTCTGTGATTCCCCAATACCACAGAGGTTCGAGGGCAAATAATAAGCCTATTACTGATCAAAGCAGAAAGCCCAATACTGGTACCAGAAGAATCCTGCTTTGATTCTCATGGGACACTCCAGAGTCCTCATAAAAACAAACTCAACAAATACCATAAGCTCAGGTCTGAGAGTAAAGCAAAGGGGCATGTGTTAACCAGAAGGGGGTGGAGCTATCAGCTGACCTGGAGCTCTGGGCATTATACACATCAGAGATTGTAGGATCAGATAAGAAAGAAAGCAGTAGAAGTCAAGGTGAAAGGATATTTTTTTCAGGCAGAGCTTCATGCAGCCCAGGCTGGCCTTATATTTCTCATATAGCTAAAGCTGGCCTTAAGCTCCCAACTCTCCGGCTTCCACTGGAAGCGATCAGAGTGCTGATATTGCAAGCACATGTACCACTAAGCACGGATCCTTAAGTAGGGGAGGGCACTTCAAGATATGAGTACTGACATCCTATTTTTTGATAAATAAAAACAGTAAGAAAAAACAGTAAGATTGCAACTATATAAAGAATTGAGTTGTGTTCACAAAGACTATAAACTGTACAAAGGTTTTTCAAAGACTATGGAAACATTGGTCACATGGAGTTTTTCTTTCTGCCTTCTGTACTTTCCAAATGTCCTGTTCTCATTTTTATTTCCTTATAAGAGAGTTAGGAAAAGTCTGCAGCAAGTTAACCTTCCTAACCCCTGAACTCCCAGTGCGGTGGCCGCATGTGTGGTTGCTATTTCTCAGCACAGCTGCAGGTTCCAAGCGCTCACTGTACTATGGAACTCTGGAATTACAGAGGAAATAATCCTATCTGCTGCACAAGGGTCTTATAAAGATTAAATTACTTTATTCATTGCAGTGTCTAGCATGAAAAAGGATTCTCATTTTGTAAGATTTCTTCAACAACTCTTCATCTCTGGTTACAGCAAGGCACAGAGATCATGAGGCTGGCTGACTGGTATCTGATGATCCAGACTAACAAGCAGGAAGAGAGAAACAAGAGGCTGAGTCTTAATGATGGATAGGCTTGGGAGGAGAGACGACCAAACTGTAAGAGGATGGGGCTTTGAACACTGAGCAGGAGTAAAAATGGAGCCTGTGGTCAGAGCCTTCGGGCAGAAGAGATGGAGACACACAAGCAAATCTTCAGTGATATAGCAACTTGGTTTCACTTATCTATGTATCAATAACTGATATCAATTTTTTTCCATTGGGAAAATGTATTTCACTGGGTTGACCAATATTCATTTATTTTGTTCAAAGGCTAGTTTGGCTTTTATGAAGTGACAGAAGCCTGCAGCCTATATACAGATAACATTTAGTTCACACATGAAAATGCAGGAGTGTTTCAGGAAGCATCCCAGATTTTTCCTCATTTTATCTGGCATGCTCATAAAAATTCACCCTTCTTTGGAAATGCAGGGAAAAATCCTTTGCAGTGTGATGACCACAGACAAATGCTTACTGTTCGGTTTTGCTTTTACACATTATTCTGAACTGTCCAGAGCTCCCAGTACCAGGGTCCTGGTGGTTATTGTGATGGCCAATCGCTATTAAGAGTCTGCTGGGCATTGGTAAGGGGGAAGCAGGAGGTTACTGAGAGGACTGTAACTCAGAAGTTGATCTCTGAAGTCAGAGGAAAAAATTAAGACTATCAAAGTTTCTACTTCTCCAAAACCCACATAAAATGAATGGTAAGAATGCTAAATATTACTGTAAGGTTCAAAGCACAGCAACCTCACACAGAAGTGGCTCTACGTTCCCCAGGATAGCAGCTCCAGAGAGAAAACACCTGCTAGCTGCTAGCTGCCCTCCGCTCTGGGAGCTTCTGTCTCTTCAAACCCAAGGGCCTTGAGGGTCCTCACTCTTGTTTTCATACCATACCATGTTTCTGTACAGAGCTGTATTGTCTTGCATATGTTTATGATAATTGTATAACATTCCTATTTGCTAATTCTACCATTTCTGTACACAGAAGTCCCGTGTGCTATTCTGAATTAGACAGTCTTCCAAATAAATCTACAGAAATAGTGGGATTATGAATTTCACAAATGCATAGTATATTATAAACTTTTCCTGTAGATATTCTTTCAATCCCACTATCAGCAGGACATTTCAGAAACATAAATATGGAAGTGTCACCTCCTGCATAAGGCCTTTTTCTACCTTTAGAACCTGCCTTCTACAAGAATACACCTTCCACTGTGCTCTGCTGCCATCCTTTCCAGAGCACATACCTTGGGCTTAGCCAAACTTTCAGCTAGCAATTCTCTCCCCAGGTGATAGATATGTCAGTCTCATCTGTGTGGGCCATCAACCTGGGGGCACCATGTTCTTAGATAGTCAACCCTCATTACTGCAGGCAAGGCTTCTCTGACTCCCTCCTACCTCAGTGCAGTACAGGGCTCTAGACAAAACTAGAAAGGCTTATTCTTGTGTCCCTGGAACTCTCTGGATGTTCACTGTTCTGCAAGTCTCAATGATACAAAGTGAGCATGTATGATCTGATATCTGTCTGAATCAACAACCTGACCCTTGAGAGCATAGACTTTGATTATCTGTACCCCAATACCAAGCACAGGGCTTGGTATAGCATCAATAGCATGTAATGTTGAGCAAGGTAGGCAGGCAGGGTCTCTGCTATGAGCTGGGGCTATGGCACCTGTCTTAGGGTTTCTACTGTTAAGACAAAACATCATGACAAAAAAGCAAATTGGGTTTGTACTTACTGGTCCGCTTCCCCTAGCTTACTCAGTCTGCCCACCCCCTTTTAAAATGTATTTATTTTTTTCACTTTACATCCCAATATTGGCATCCCAACTCCTCTCACATACATCCTCCCTCCATCCCCCCTGCTCTTCTCCTCTGAGAATGGGGAGTTCCCCTCTCCCTCCCCACCTATAAAATACCACCTTCAATCACCTCTATCTCCCCAAACCCCCTGACACATCAAGTCACTATAGGATTAGGCAAATCCTCTCCCACTGACACCAGGTGATTCAGTTAGGGGAACATGATCTACATCACTCTGCCTTCTTATAGAACCCAGGACCACCAGCCCAAGGATGGCACCACCCACAATGGGCTGGGCCCTCCCAAACTGATCACTAATTGAGAAAATGTTTCACAGCTGGAACTCATGGAGGCATTTCCTCAACTGAGGCTCCTTTCTCTCTGATCACTCTAGCTTGTGTCAAGTTGATACAAAACCAGCAGTACAGCATCTGTTCATGATGCTGCTTATAAGAAGAACTTCATAGCTAAGCAGAGTGGTGCACACCTTCAATCTCAGCACTCAGGAGGCAGATCTCTGTGAACTAAAGGCCAGCCTGGTCTTCATTTCTTTGTACAGAATAGC